ACAAAACCATGCTCCATGTTGATACTTGTCATGAAAGGACCGATCCTTGAGCAAATGAAGATCGTTCACACGCCGGTTACCAGGTAAGAAAACATTAGCCAACAAGTGTCGATGAGGAAAAACGCGCAAAAATGTTTCTCTCTTTATAGTAGGAATTCAGCGTCATTGTTGTCATTGTTGATTCAGCACATTTACATGTCTGGAAGAGCTTTTGTATAAATTTACTGTTTTTCCATTTCTTTAAGGAAGTTGTAACACAATTATTTAATACCAACAAGCTAAGATAGGTATTTTAATGTAATACTTATTGGTAAAAACAATTATTGTACAATGCTTAGAACATACAAAAACATCTCCAGCCTTGTCTGTGAATACACCACTGCTGGTCCGAGCAGAGCTGGTGTGCTATCCGTGTTGCTTAGTAAGCTCCTTCGCGAGACGCAACCATGTCACGATCCATAGGTCCGTCGAGATGCACCATTGTGGCTCCGAGTACAAGTGAGGAGGATGTTGGAGTTGGAGACGACATCATGATCGTGCAACAGGAGTGGATGTGTTACGCCACTGTGTTATTGGTTTAGTGATAAGGCAATCGGAACCTGCATGTAGGTGTAGAATTAAGTTCTCAAAATCAAGCTTTGGAGAATCCTATTTATTTTCATATTCATTTTTATTTTCGTACAATCCAGACGTCACCTTGTGAGATGTATGTATTATTGTTCAGTAATTGGATCAATAACGCTCAATCTACAGTGGATCACAGGTGTTCTACTACGCCTTTCAAACTAATCACAAACCTACATGTCAACCAGTCCGTTGAATCCGTAGGAAATCCCCCATAAGCCTAGCATTATTCCTATTAGCATGTTATTCGATGTTTCACTTAATGTTTATTTTTCAATTTTGGAAAAGGAGGTTGAGACCCCAGTGCATTATTGCGACGCACACATTCAATTTTGTTATTAAGCAACATATATAACAAATGAACCATGGTCGAATCATTACAAGTAACTAAATTCACACCTATGGCTAAGTTGATTTGTTCTCCGGCAATGCCTCCAAGAAAAGATAAACCTCTTTGCGCCATCATTGTCACGCCCGTCCATAGACGAAGGATTTTCATCATGGTTGTCGAGCCTAGCAGACTGATAAAACAACAAGTAAATAACACCTTCAACAATGTAGCGACGCAAATTCGTCGTGTCTGACCCGTTCTAATCAGCATCTTGATGGCAGATCATCTGATAGTCACATTTGCAATCATGTTAGCGCCGCCAACGAGCATCCGTAGCGACCATGGCCACTATGTTAGCAGATAAGCTGATGCGCCTGCATCTACTCCCTCTGTCCCATAATATAAGACGTTTTTGTAAGCCAACATAGTTTGCAAAAACATCTTATATTGTTGGGCGGATGGAGTATTTATTTCATGTAGAAAGTATCAAAGGCATGCAAAGATTGGCAAGGGGTGCAATTAGCCATACTTGCCAAGTCATGAGTCTCCTTACTACAAACACGTTTTTCAAGCCACGAAATCACATGTCAGAAATGAGTTCCTAGGAGACTTATCTCCTTCACATATATTTTTCAAGGGCAACACGCTAGACTTAATCTCCTGTTTTAGGGTTACTTAATTTTCTTTTTCTAGAATCCGAGGGTCATTTAGTCTCCCGCATTTTTTTGAGGCAAACGGACGCAACTTTATTATTTAGACGAAAGAATGATTATAGGTACAGGAACTGAGTCGTAAAGAACCCCAAGCCAAACATGACGACCGATGCCTAAGGAGGAGAGGAAGCGTGTTGAGCCTTCAAAGTTAAAGTTTCTATGTTCATGACTTATATTACAACTCTGGAACAAATTTTGCCTATACTTAATGTCCTTCATTTTTTCTTGAAAACAACATTTTTTTAGAACAACTTAATCTCCTTCATGATCCACTCTGTTTCATCATCATTGTATAAACCTTTGAAACAAATTCGTGTACAAGAGTCGTAGCCCATCCCATCCCAGCCCAGCCCAGCCCGTCACTCAAGGTGACACCAACGCAAGCCTACCCTCGCCACTCTGTTCCCCATTCCCTCGCCGCCGGCCGCCGCGCCGCCATGCTCCGCCTCCGCAGCTCCATCCTCGCCCACCTCCTCTCATCTCCAGCCACCTCTCCCGTATCCCCTCTCCACCGCCTCCTCTCAGCCGCAGCGCCAGCCATCTCCACCCCGACCACCGGGTTCGCCGTGGAGGACTACCTCGTCAGCACCTGCGGCCTCACCCGACCCCAAGCCCTCAAGGCCTCCGCCAAGCTCTCCCACCTCAGGTCCCCTGCCAAGCCCGAAGCCGTCCTCGCCTTCCTCGCCGGCCTCGGCCTCTCCGCCGGCGATGTCGCCGCCCTCGTCGCCAAGGACCCGCAGTTCCTCTGCGCCAGCGTGGAGAGAACACTGGCGCCCGTCGCCGCGGGGCTCTCCGGCCTCGGCTTATCGCGATCTGACATCTCGCGCCTCGTCTCGGTTACTGCCGGCCTCTTCCGGCATAGATCCATCGTCTCCAACGTACAGTACTGTCTGCCCCTCCTCGGCTCCTTCGAGAACCTCTTACACGCGGTCAGCCATGGCTCCAGCCTTGTCGGATCTGATCTCGAGCGGGTGGTCAAGCCCAATGTCGCTCTCCTGCAAGAGAGTGGGCTAGGTGTTTGTGATATTGCCAAGCTGTGCCTCAATAGGCCACGGCTGCTCAGCAGCAACCCAGAGCGCGTCCAGGCGGCGTTGGCGTCCGCCGAAGCACTCGGTGTACCCCGTGGATCCGGGATGTTCAGGTATGCGATTGAAGCTGTTGCATCCTTCACCGAGGAGAAGATCGCTGCCAGAGTGGACTACTTGAAGAAGACATTCAGGTGGTCGGATGCCGACGTGAGCATTGCTGTGTGTAAGGCTCCGAATTTGATCGCAAAATCAAAGGAATCACTGCAGTGCAGGTCTGAATTCCTCATCTCTGAGGTGGGGTTGGAACCGGCCTACCTCGCTCAACGTCCGGCAATGGTCTGTTACAGCCTACAGGGCCGGATGAGACCCCGGTACCACGTTGTAAAGTTTCTCAAGGAAAATGGATTGGTCAAGCACGACCCGAGCTACTATACTGTTTTCAAGGAGAGCGAGAAGTATTTCGTGGATAAGTTCATATGCCCTCACAAGGAAGCTGCACCACACCTTGCAGAAGATTATGCCGCCGCTTGCAGAGGGGAAGTGCCCGCTAGATTCAGATTTACATGAACCAACAATGGGCTGTGAGAAGCGATAATGCTGGTAATTTCTGATTCAGTGTTATTTGCCAAACTGAATGTTTATTGTCTGATGCATGTTATTTAGTATTGGTAATCCTGGGTGAAACTGGTAATTTGATTATGTCTCACTGAATGATGGCACTGCAATGAACTTGTCCATCCTCATTCGCATAATATTGACACACATAGTGGAACTAAGAGTGTGGAGATCAGGGCATTCTACAAATGCTTTCAACTATCGATAAAGCGTATATCTGCACGCTCTATCTCTATGTTCTCAATGGTCATTGCAGTTTTCAATGCAATCCTCAATCTATCTTTCCATCGAAAAAGATTCTTATTTTGGCCATGATGATACGAAGTATCAAAATTTTCCTTTGGTCATCCAGTTTTGACCTAGGTATTTGGCTGCTTCCTCTAGTTCTTGTAAGCTGAAACTCTTTGTTCTTCCTGCAATAGCTTTGTTTATGAGATATTGCCTGTTTGAGAAAGCTAGTCATTGTTTACTAGTAGTAGTTTGTATCAGTTTTCTTAGTTTTTCCCCCCGTATTTTTTGGATGGCCTACTGGCTGATACTTTTTCTACGGGCATATGAGCTCAAAATTGAATAATGCTATAATAGTTGCTCTGTTATTGATAGCTGTTGCTGTTCTGAAAGTACTTGGCAGTTTCATGATTATTTCAGAGTTTTGGCTTAGCTTTTGAAAGCCTTATATTAGTTAAGCTTTCTCAAGCACAGAAAGATAGGTCATGTTGTTTCCTTCAAATTATTTATTATGATGTAAATGTATTATGTATCTGGAGGATTATTTTGACTAAAATTCGAGCCATTGGGTCCATTTTATGCCACACGAGTTAAGCTCTATGTATCCGCACATACGGTGGGTGTAAACTTGGACTGTTGGAGTCATCAGGTTGATGTTGTAGTTAACACTTTAGTTATTTTTTCCTCTTTATTCCCTTCAAGGATCACTGATGGCAGTGCGCTTAGTTACTTCCATGTTTTCTACCATCAACCTGTTCGTGGCCCTCTTGTTGGTGGAAGTGCTGAATCAAAGGATGTAAATAAATGGCTCGATTAGATGATTAATGGTATGAATCTTCGCCAGTCAATACCAGAGTGGTGATCCTCGCAAGTTACTTATTTAGTTGCTGCTGATACTATGTCAGCACTATGGGAAACTGCGTGTGCCTTTTGGGTCTAACCCATCACAAGAGGTGCTTCCTTTGTTTCATGCTTTATTTTGTTGCAGTTATAGTTGGACTTACATTACCATTATATTGTGTGCATGTTCCCCTTTCCATAATTATTAACTTGGAATTTTCATTAGAAGCAAGATGTCCATAATGCACGTTCTACTTAATCAAACCTTGTTCTGTCATACATGCATTAGACTTGCTTTTTTTATGATTCTGTATGGTATTATTGTTTGGCTATATCGTAGGTTGTGATTGCACATTTCCCACTCCGTTGTTCTGTACCTAATACTACTGGCTACTGTCCGTCATGTTTTTTTTTATGTAGGCTACTGTTTGGGATGGTTCCTTTCAAGGACCAACATATTACTGAGTTGGCTTTTATATCAAGTTGTATCTCAAATTATAGATTGGTGTTACGATCTAGATTTAGCTGAATGTCTTAACTCGTCTTTTAGAAATATCAGGTGGAACCTTGCAAACTTGATATTTTTTTTGTTCTTCTGTTGGTTAAAATAAACTAGACCATACATTTGTTAGCACCATTGATGATTTGAGTATTTCTTTAACCCTTGCATATCAAATTCTTGTTTGAGTTATTGTTAATAAGGTACAGACTGTCTAGAGATTGCAAATAACTAAGCTCTTTTCGTCTTGTAAGAGAAGTAGTGCTCATATGGGGGGGATTTTGGATCCAATTATCGTTTCATGAAAATATACACTCTGAAAGTCAGATGCAGGTAGTTCCTTTTTATTCTTTTAGCCAAGTGTCCCCCAGATGAGGCAACTATCCGTCTTTTAGTTAAGATCGATGAAAACTGGTCTTTCTTGGGCTCTTTGCCTTTAAGGAAAAACAATATTAGATGATTTTTCCTTGCGACCTGTTTACACTGTCTGAAACAAAGAGATAGATTTTTGTCGTACCCTTTTTTTGGTTAGACTCTATAGAGCAAGCATGTCACCAATTTGGCTACAACGGTCTCCATGTGTATATTCATTTAGTGTGCTGACTAGAGAAGACATGGCAGGCACACATAGGCAGTAACGGTCGAACCAAGGACATTTACACTGGAGATGTTGTTTTACACTAATCCACGCAAACTCTGAAGTTTTCACTTTACTGAATTTAGGTGGTGCTTTGTTTCTTCCAGGAGGAGAAAATGTGCTGAAACTGGATGTGTATCATGGTCCTTTCTTCTTCGAGGAGATGGAGCATGGCGCAAACTGGGGGTTTGCCTATACGTGATTCTGAAGGAGGATCAGCTCCGCTTCGATGCATACTTGTTGCAGGCATAACTAGGCGTGGTGCCTATGGTATATCGAGCTATAGTGCCGCAGACGCGGAGTATGGCATTTTATTGTAGGGCAAGTATAGTGTTTTGGTCTATTTTACTCAATGCATATTGACATGCTGCCTGGTCTCGTCTCTATTTTTTCTCTTTTGTGAGAGCTCCCTGATCTCATCTCACTAGGCAGTAACTTGTATGAGCACTGCCATGGGTTTAGTGCAACATTCAGAGTGTATCATGTTTGGAGCTGTTTTCATGTTTAACGGATGACCGCGTTCATGAAAAGAAGAGATGTAATCCGTCTATTGTAGAAAAAGTTTAACAGCGTTCCAATATTACTCAGTTCTTTTGCCTCTCTCGAAACGCACAAATTTGAAAAGCTCTTTGGTGGCTGACACAAATTGTAAAACCATGGTGATCTCCAGATGCATGCTGCCAGCGGGATGAGATGTGTTCAGTTCCAGTGTGCTTGTATTTTACTTTATTTGCGTGAAAGTGTCCTAAAAGATTAGCAATGCAAATCTTGTGATTCGCCTGACTTATGCTGGATAACTCCGCTAGTTCTAGCACCAGTGATCCTTCCTTTTTGGTTGAGAATTGCACAACAGATCTCATAAATGCATTAAAGATTACAAGCATGATTTATGGACTCTTTGACACTTTGCACAAGTACCCCTATAGACAACACCGTTGACAAACCCCTAACCTACCCCTATCTATAGGCCAAACACGAGAGAAGGGGACCCCTCCACTAGTCAAAGCGATGGATGATAGAGAAGGGAACCCACATGGTCGTAAATGAGCGGCAACAAAAGGGAAAAGAAAAGATTGTACTTCATCTATATCAAGAAGCCGTTTGTTATCGCCTAAAAAGAGCTACCTTAAATGAGATCGGTTTTCTACCTTGTAAATGTGAACAAAATTACATATATATATATATATCACAAGATAACGGGTGAACAAAAAGATCAATGGCTTGGTCGCCGGAAAATCGCACCGACCTTGACTAGATACCCTAACCAAATGAACCCGTTATAAATTGCATCAACAAAGAGGGGGACGGTGTACGGCAAACTTTGTTGGACGTAGCGCAACCTCTTCGACCTGATGACACCACTAATAAGCCCTAACCTACCTCTATCTATAGGTCCGACATGAGGGTAGGGTTCCCCCACACACAAGAGTGACGGACGGGAGAAGTAAACCCACATGCTTCCCGATGAGCAGGCATCAAAGGGGTAATCAAGAAACTTCTTGTAATCGATCCCGGAAAATTACTAGCCTAAATGAGTCATCTATTTTGATTGGCTATATGAGTCATTTTGTTTGTATAAAATGCGCTCCGAATGTCTTTTCCTAAAATCTAAAAAATGCACGCGCACCATTTAGACGGAACGAGCGGCCTCGATCCCGCCCTGAATCGCCGCACGCGTCCAACTTTCGTAGGCTACGATTTTCCCCAAGTTTCCCATTCTACCCCTCCGCCGACACGTTCCCCTCTTCCTCGCCCGACGCCACCGACCACTCGCTCCCCACTCGCCCCCGATCTCTCTCTCTCTCTTGCACGACGCCCCCGCTCGCCTCTCTCTCTCTCTTGCGCGACGCCGGCCACCAGTCGCCTCTCTCTCACGCGCGCGACGCCGCTCTCTCCCCGTTGATGCGCCCTCTCTCTCCCTCTCGCCGGCATCTTGCTCCGCACCACCGCTCACTGCTCCCCACCACCCTGGTTCACACAAAGCTGCCATTTTTATTCGCCGGCGATGCGCTGCTGGGCGAGGAGGAGCTGGATCCACATGCGCTGGTCCCCGATCTGCTTGTGGATAGGTGTGAGGAGTCGCTGAAGCGGAGCCCGAGCAGCGCCGGCGCGGGCGTGAAGACGACGGCGGGAGGAGGTGGAGCCCGAGCGGGAGGATCTGGAGCCGCATCTCAAGTATTGAAGCTACCTCGGCGACGCAACGACGCTTGATGTGGAGCGGCGCCTGAGCCGCGGAGTCGGCGGTCATATCCATGGCGACGGCGACGCCGCCAAAGGTACTCTTCCTCCTCTGGTTCAATTCAACCCCTTTCTTTCATGGATTAAAGCATGGAGTACATTCAGTTCAGCCCCTTGCACTGATTTGGAGGTAGCAGTAGCAATAGCACTGATTTGCAGTGATTTAGAGTAGTTGCAGTAAATCTGAATTACTCCAGTGTGCAGATTTGCAGTAAACTTGAATTACACTAGTGTGGATTTGCACTGATTTGGAGTAGCTTTGATGCAGTAGGCCTGCTTATTTGATCTACAGTTGGGAAGGAGATTAATAGGCCTGCTTATTTGAAGATTTATAGTTGCACAGGAGTATTCAATTAGTTGGCATACTCATCATTTCTACTTGCACAAACTGTATGCAATTAATTGACATCCTCAGCCACAAGAGTAGCTATTTTTTAGTCCCATCTTCAAATTTTTGAGGGTTGCCCAAGAGTATCAAATGACTTGGCACCCTCAGCCTTTCTAGTTGCACAGGAGTATTTAATTAGTTGGCATCTTGAGCATTTTCTAGTTACACAATAACACCTAACTAGTTGACATCCTCAGCCTTTCTAGTTGCACAAGAGTAACTACTTTTAGTTGGCATCCTCTGCATTTTGTAGTTGCATAACTAACATAATATCAAGTTGGCATCATCAACCTTTTTTATCCAGTTTTTTCTGAAGAAGAAGAAATATTTTGTATGCAGTGTTAACTAATCACCTTCGGCACCTTTTGTTTGCAAAACCTTAGGTGATCACGTCGGAATGTGATCACTTTTGACACCGTTTTCTGATGACAGGAAATAGAATTTCATCTTCTTTTCTGTTTCATTTTTAGTATATAATACATCCTATAGAACATATTCCCCCTATTGCAATTTGTGTGAGACAAGACTACTTGTATGCTCATTTTTAATATTGTTCTTGTGCTTTTTCTAGTCTCGTTTTTAATACTTTTAATACAGGAAAGAGAATTTCATCTTCTTTGCTGCACAAATTTGCAGCAAAAGTTGGCTTTGGATACAAGTTTAGCTGCACAATTATATGTTTATATTTGCACAAACAATAAATCCAGTCTTTTTCTATGGGAGAGAAGTGAAGTGGTGGTTGGTAGTGGTCGGCTCGTCACCTGGCGGATCTGGGAGCGATCGCTCGCGCGATCGAACGGCCACGGGCCGGCCGCCCGTTTCGGTCAGTTAGTGGCCGGCCACTTTTTAGACTTTAGGTTTTCTATCTCATATAGTCCGTGTGTTGGTTGAACACATTTTTTGCAGGAAAAGATAGACTGAATGTAGTGTCTGCAAATAGAAGCCCATATTTGTGCCAACTAAACATGGATCCAAAACCATCTTTTCCTGCAATGTGTGCAACCAACAACCAAAAGACTAGAACAAATGGACTCCAGTCTAGGCTGTTTTGTTGCACACATTTGCATAAAAAGGTTGGCTTGGACCCATGCTTAGTTGCATAAATATGTTCTTCTTTTTGCAGAAACAGTACACCCAGTCCATCTTTCTAGTCTGGGATTTTTCTTTTGCACACATGCCGCAGGAAAGTTGGTTTTGGACCAATATTTTAGTTACACAAATATGTGCTTCTTTTTGCACAAACAGTACACCTAGTCCATCTTTCTAGTCTGGGCCATCATACAGTTGAGATTAGTACTTTTTCTGGAGAACTCAATGCAGCTAGTATTTTCAACAGCATCAGCGTCATTTTTATAAACTCGGTTTTTGGTTTGGTGACGGTGTGATGATTTTTTTTCTCTCGTCATGCAAGTGTTGAATAACTATTTTTCTGACTTGGTATCCTCAAGATTTCTTGTTGCACAAGAGTATCCATTTAGTTGGCATCCTCAGCATTTCTAGTTTCAAGGAACAATATACAACTAGTTGACATCCTCAGTTTTTCTAGTTGCACAACAGTATATAATTTAGTCCCATCTCCAAAAAAATTGAGGGTTGCCAAAGAGTATCTTTGGCACCCTCAGACTTTATACCTGCACAGTAGTATCCAATTAGTTGGCATCCTCAGCAATTCTAATTACACAATACTTTTCTAACTAGTTGACATACTCAAGACTTTTTCTAGTTGCACAAGAATATGTATTTAGTTGGCATCCTTAGCATTTCTAGTTGCACAATACTTTTCTAACTAGTTGACATACTCAAGACTTTTTCTAGTTGCACAAGAGTATGTATTTAGTTGGCATCCTTAGCATTTCTAGTTGCACAGAGAACATAATACTGTGTTGGCATCCTACAATTTATACAGTACCTACAATTTATTGAACATTTTTTCTATCTACAATGTGCAGGTCTATGATTCAGACAGTAGCTACATGAAAAGAAGGGCATGATTTTCTGCAAATCAATGCAAGTGAACATATCAAGCAAGGTCTGCTACAGCAACTTCAAAGATAGAAGCAAAATCAGATTTCAACTATAATTGTCTATAGCTATTTTAGTTAGATTTGCACATTTAGATCAATGGTTTGCTGGCAGTGTGTTTCAAATTTGTGATGGCAGTGTGTGAACCTATTTTCTAAGAACTATATTTGCAGATTGTTTTTTATTAGAACATATCGTATATCGCTCGTCATCGTATATTGTTTGTCTTCTTCCAGATTTTTCAAGTTCCTGCCAAGGTTGCACAGTTTTGACCCATTTTATATTTCCAGTTTCACAGTTTCTGCTTATAGTTGGATGCTAGAACGGGGTTAGTTGCACAAAATAGGTTTAGTGTTGTATAATCTATTGAGTTGGCACACAACACTCATTCAGTTGACTACCTTATTTGGCTTAGTTGCACGAAAGCAATCTACTGGTTGAACAGTTTTTCCGCAAACACACTATGCAAGATTCATTTGATTTTTGACAACCAAATACATGAGTTCTTGCCAAAGTTGCACAGTTCTGACACTTTTATATTTCCAGTTGCACAGTGCCTCCTCATAGTTGGATGCTACAACTGGGTTAGTTGCACAAAAAAAGGTTTAGAGTTGCATAATCTGTTGAGTTGGCACACATCACTCATTCAGTTGGCTATCTTATTTGGCTTAGTTGCACGAAAGCAACCTACTGATTGCATAGTTTTTCCTGGAACACACTATGCACGATTCATTTGATTTTTGACAACCAAATATACAAGTCAAAGATGTGTGCAAGGAAATCACTAGAAGGAGCAAGATATACAAAAGAGAATCTCGAAGAAGATGGGCAAGTCTTCTCACCTCTGGATCCTAAAGGTAGGTTTTCTTTTTCGTCCCTCCTCTCTTCTGATCTGGCTTTTTCTGGTCTTCTCTCTGATTTCTAAGCCCTCTTCTCTTCTCTTGTTCTTTTGTTCTGGCGATGAAGGTCCTGCAAACTGGGCAGATCCTTCTTTCGTGAGGAAGAAGAAGATCCTGCCTGGTCTTTGATCTACTTTTTTTATTGTCTTTTTTGTGATCTCTAAGCCTCTTCTCTTCTCTTATTTGTTCCTAGGAGCCGCCATGTTGTCCTTCTCTCCTAGCGATGAAGGATTCTGCAACCTGGGCAGATCCTTCTTTCGTGAGGAAGAAGAAGATAGCCAGGGCGCAGTTGGTGGGCGGGGCATGGTTTGGCGAGGAGGGTGCACGTGATCCCGCGGCTAGCTGGCGGGCGGGGCAGTTCCCTTTTTCGCTCCGATGGGCGGGGACCAGGTGGACCATTTGGGCGGGCGGCGGGCGGTTCCCTTTTTCGTTCGGGCGGGCGGGACCAGGTGGACCACGTGGGCGAGCAGGGGACTGTTTCCTCTTTCGCTCGAGGGGGGACCAGGTGGTTTCCTTTTTCGGGTGGCCGCTGGCTAGCGATCCCAAGGCGGCCGGCCGCCCACTAGACGCGTCCATGTCTTTTTTTGCAAAAATATTGGACGAGAGAACACGTTTGTAAACGGGTCAGGCAGCATGAGCTATAGCTGGCCAAACGGGCCGGGATAGTTGGGCCGGTCCGGTAGCACGGCCGGCACGACACGGGCCTGGCACGGCACGACACGTGCTAAACGGGCCGGGCCCGGCACGCGGCACGCCATGGGCCGTGCCTGGGCCTGAAGGGCGAGCACGCGGGCCGGCACGGCACGGCCCGATTAACTTTTTTATATTTTTTTATGTATCCTAATATGGGCCAACAGGTAAAAATAGGCTAAAAACGCTCAGTGCGCAAAATAGGAGGTAGATTAGTAGGCCTGGCGTGCCGGTGGGCCGGCCCGATTAGCATACGGGCCGTGCCTGGGCTACAGGCTGCAGCACGCGGGCTGGCACGGCACGGCCCGTATAATAATCGTGCCTAGGCGGGCCGGGCCGTGCCAGGCACGATTAGGATGGGTCGTGCCGTGCCGGGCCGGGCCGGCCCGTTTGGCCAGCTATAGCATGAGCCATGAGGTGACACCGACGCGTGGGGCCCACTCCACTTTGGGTTGACCACCAACGAAAATCCTCTCCACGGCTTCTCATTCCCGCACCAACGCGTTCCCCTTTACCTCGCCGCCGGCGCCACCGCGCCGTCGCGCCGCCATGCTCCGCCTCCGCCTCGGATGCCGCGCCCTGTCCCAGCTCCTCCCGCCCCCATCCTCGTCTCCCATCTCCCAGCTCCTCGGCTACCACAGCCGCCTCCTCTCCGCGGCCGCGCCCGTCGTCTCCCCAAACCCTAGCTTCGCCGTGGAGGATTACCTCGTCTCCACCCGCGGCCTCGTCCGAGCGCAGGCCCTCAAGGCCTCCCCCAAGCTCGCCCACCTCAGGTCCCCCGCCAACCCCGACGCCGTGCTCGCCTTCCTCGCCGGCCTCGGCCTCTCCGGCGCCGACGTGGCCGCCCTCGTCGCCAGGGAGCCCCAGTTGCTCTGCGCCAAAGTGGAGAGGACCCTGGCCCCCAACGTCGCCGCGCTCACCGGCGTGGGGTTATCGCGTTCTGAGATCGTCGGCCTCCTGTCGCTCGGATGCGGCAAACTCCGCTCTAGATCCGACGTCTCCAAGCTGCAGTACCACCTGTCCCTCTTCGGCTCCATCGACAACTTCCTCCATGCTCTCAAGCGCAAGGGATGCTCCATTCTCTGGGCTGACCTCGAGAGGGTGGTCAAGCCCAATGTCGCTTTCCTGCGAGAGTTTGGGCTTGGTCCTTGTGATATTGCCAAGCTGTGCGTCGCTCAGCCATGGCTACTCACCTCCAGGGCAGAGCGTGTCCGGGCGACGGCGGTGTGCGTCGAAGGTCTGGGTATACCCCGAGGGTCTGGGATGTTTAGGCATGCACTCAATGCTGTTGCATTCGTCAGCAAGGAGAAAATCGCCGCCAAAGTGGAGCACCTGAAGAAAACGTTCAGGTGGTCGGATGCTGAGGTGGGCATTGCTATTTCTAGGGCTCCAAATGTGCTGAATAAGACTAAGGAGTTTCTGCAGAGAAGGTCAGAGTTCCTCATCTCTGATTTGGGGTTGGAACCCGCATACATTGCTCGTCGCCCCGTAATGCTCTCGTACAGCCTGGAGCGCCGGCTAAGGCCCCGGAGCTACGTTGTGAAGTTTCTCAAGGCAAATGGATTGCTAGATCCCGACCGGGACTTGTATTCCGTGCTTGTACTGTCTGAGAAGGTATTCATGGAGAAGTACATATGCCCTCACAAGGAAGCTGCACCGTGCCTCGCTGGAGACTATGCTGATGCTTGCAAAGGGCTACTGCCGACTAATTTCAGATTTACATGAAGCAAGGACCGGCTATGGAAATTGGTAATTGTGTATGGCATAACAGAGTTTTCACCATTCCTAGTAAGCTGGTAATTCACATTAGTATTTTTCCCCCTAAATAGAGATTGGTTTTCTGCTGTAGTATGTCTTCCATATGCTGGTTTGGTCGCTGCTAATGCCTAATGAAATTGATAGTCTAATTCATGAACCCTGTGGTGTTGATGTAATGATGTTCTAGTTAAGTAGACATGAAAGCATCGCCTGCAATCTCTGGAAATGAGAGTCCATGAATATATTTGTGTTTCTGACTTCCATTTTTAGGATAATGGAAATTGAATATGTGGGTAGACCAATTTTCTTGTGAAACCAGAACCCAGAGAACAAGAAAGGATGAGAACTGTATTGCATCATTTTCCAGTAAATATGAGTTGCTTTCATCCATATTTTTATTTCCATTTTCATTTCTGTCTTTTTTTTTGTTTTTCATCATTTACAGTTCATTTTTTCTATCCAGGTTATGCTTAGAAATGTATGTTTCCATTCGGTGTCTCATCATGCCTTTTGGTTTCTTTCCCATTTTCCTTCTAAGATTGAATATCTTTGTTCCTAAATCCTGTACCTGATTTTACTTCTGCTGAGAAAATTTCAAACTTGAAAAGGTAATCTATTTGGGACTAAACCATGGTCAACAATGAATTAGTCTCGTCATTTACATCTGTTTGTCAGAACTAGAGGGCCTGCTCAGGCCCTGATACTATGCTGTAAAGTTTCTCAAGGAAATTGGTTGCTCAAGCGCAATCTGAGCTACAATAACGTTTTCATGGTGACCAATAAGGTTCTCATTGAAAATTTTCATATTGCCCTCACAAGGAAGCTGCCCCGCACCTCGCTAAAGAATATGCTGCCACTTGCAGAGGGGAAGTGCTATCTAATTTCTTTTTTTTTCTTGGAATACTTTTTTCTAGAAATCTGATCTCAAAACTGACAGCATTTATTTTGGCGCTAGCTGTTTCTGTTATGAAAAATACTTGGCTGTTCCCCGGATACTTAGAATTTTGGCTACCTTTGGAAAGCTTTATATTACTTTGCAATATTAAATGAACTTTAAATGCATTAGATATCTTGAGGACTACTAGGACTGAAGTTGTAGCCGTTGGGTCCATTTTATGCCAATATCCACACATACAGGTTAAACTTGGACTCTTGGAGTTAACAAGTTGGCATTGCAGTTGACACACTTGAGTTATTTTTCCCTTGTTTCTTTGATTTGTGTCATTCCCTGTTTGCACACAAACCCATGTTATGGTTGAGTAGATAATTAGAGGCGACATGAGCTGGTCGCTCTTCATCTTGTAGCACAAGGAAAAAGAGTCCTGGAAAGCACAGGAGGTGATGATGGTTCATGTAGCATTACTACTGGGTTCAATTCCACTACGCACATGGTACAGCATATCAGTCGAATTCCAGAGGGATTGATCCTTGCCTCATCTGTACATCCAGCCTATACACAGCTCGCCTTACTTAAAGGGTTCATCAGTAACATCAGCGAAGAGGAAGATGCCCGGCATACTTCTTTGATTAGACTCCATTCTGGCGCTTTCCTGATTCCAATCATCCTTTCAGGTAGCAGTAGCCTTTTCTGATTTAAAAGCCTGGCTACCACGGTCCTTTCAGGTATATTCATTCTGTGTGCTAAGTGCTAACTAGAGAAGAGATAGCAGGCATGCACATAGGCTGTACAGGGGATGTTTATCTGGAAATATTGGTTTAGTCTAATCCATCCAAACTCAGTCTTCATTTTACTGAATTTAGGTTAGACGATGCCTTCTTTCTACCGGGATATGTTGGATGCAGACGCACACCGCCTCAATCCACACACACCGGATATGGATTCTTGAATCTACAAGAATTTCTATGAAAACGTTTCATTTGCTTCTCTTCAATGAAAGTTTCATTTGCTTCTCTTCAATGTATCCCAAGAAATTCTTGACCCAACTGATGCTCAATCTTCTTGCAATCACAAAGAAAAAGAAAGAAAGAAGTAACTCGTCAAAATATTTTCGGTCACTCAATTTCTTTTATATTGTGAAAAAAGACAGGGCGTCTATCTAAAGCAAAATCGCTAAAAAAAATTATATCTAAAGAAAAGAGTCTAAGCCCAGAGCAGCCCAGCCTCTTTCACGCAGACGAAAAGCCCAGCCCACCAGTAAGTGTCTGTCTGTCAATGTGAGAGAGACCGGCCCACGGCTTCCCCGAGCTCCCTCCCTCCCCCCCTCGCCGCCGGCGCCGCCATGCTCCGGCGCCGAGGCCGCCTCCTCATCCAGATGCTCTCCACTCCCTCCGCCACCACCACCTCCCCTCTCCACCGCCCGGCCACAGCTACACGCTCGGAGCTGCATCCTCTCCTCTCCCCGCCGCCTCCTCTCCGGTGCCACAGCCCCCGGCATCTCCCCGACCACCGGGTTCGCCGTGGAGGACTACCTCGTCTCCACCTGCGGCCTCACCCGAGCCCAGGCGCTCAAGGCCTCCCCCAAGCTCGCCCACCTCAGGTCCCCCGCCAACCCCGACGCCGTGCTCGCCTTCCTCGCCGGCCTCGGCCTCTCCGGCGCCGACGTCGCCGCCGTCGTCGCCGTCGTCGCCCGGGACCCAAGTTCCTCTGCACCGGCGTGGACAAGGGCCTGTCCCCCATCGTCCGGGGGCTCTCCGGCCTAGGTTTGTCACATTCTGAGATCGCGCGCCTCCTCTTGCAGTCCCCCAACAATTTCCAGTTCCAGATCCATCGTCCCCAAGCTGCAGTACTACCTGCGCCTCTTCGGCTCCTCCGAGAGGCTGCTCCGTGCC